GATGGTGGCGGCCTTCTTGATTTCCTCCATAAGTTCGCTAGGAATCTTGGACACGGAATACTCAGTCCCGTACCACTTTTCCTTGTGCTCCCATTTCCCAGGCACCTCCCGCGAGACGATGGACATACGGAAATTGTCAGGCCGCAAGCAATCAAGGCCCTTGCGGATGAGGTTGGCATCATACTTGCGCAACTTGCTAGTTCCGCTCAAAAGCCATTCTCTGGGCAGTGGCCGTTGCATGACTCCGGCTGTCTTGCTTGCGAAGCTAGAAGCCTGAGTCTTCTGCTTGAACTTAAAATCAATGTCTCCCATAATCTTTTGCTCGTTGTGGATCCATTCCTGGGGTCCCGTTTGTTTAAGTAAGGCGATGTATTGGAACACCACTTTGACGACCTCTTCGTAGTGTTTAAGCCCCTTTGCATTTTGGTCAGCAATTTAAAGTGTAATCAGGAGATAAGGAGGACATACTTCTTGTGTCAACTTGATCTGAATATCAAACATGCCAGGAGAGCCAGGGCAAACAGTCCACGCGCCAGCGCTAAGACCATTAGCCCAACCTTTTGACTTGATATGAGCCATGATGCTGCCCGGGCCCTCATGGCCAAGTAAGTGGCTGAGGTAACGACTTGGAAGCTCTTCGAACAAGAGATGCTCATCTAAGAAGGGGAAGGTAATGTTGAGTTCTCGTGAATCCATTACGGGTTTGGCAAAGGTCACGACTCCGAGTTGCTCCGGCGTAAGAGGAGCTTCATCTGTCCACTCATTGGGTGGCAGATCTTTGTTCTCTACGTCTGAAAACAACTCGGCAACCCAGCCTTCAAGAACGTCAAGTGATTCTCTTCCGAGCACGCACAGCTTCATGCGGTTGGCCGAGTAATGCTTCTGATAAAACTCAATGAACTTTTCACGAACATTGACGCCCTTGGACTCAGGCAACACCTTGAGCGTTTCCAGGTTTCCAGTAGAGAAATGGCAGTACGGATGCTTGGGGTTCGAGATGGACTTGTCTAATTGGTGAAGTCGCCACGTATCGTTCTGTAGGTTCTTTTTGTTTTCGGAGTCCACAGCCCGAAGCTCCCTGTCAAGAGTGTTGGCGAGAAAGAGCGGCGCAACGAAGAACTGAGCAAAACGATCCAGAGCACCGTAAAGGGGCGAGGGATTGGTAGCCGAAAGCTCCTCATCATTGCTGGGTTTGGCAGACACCTCGAAGTAATAGTTGGTGTGAGTTGCTGCAGTGAAGGCATTAGAGCTACCAGAATTTGTCGACAAATACTGGCTGTAGTCATTCTCGACCGGGTACTTCTTGGTACCCATGAACAGGAGCTAGAATCATGATCACCAGGGTCAGTAAGAAAAATCACCAAAAAAATTCCCATCACGTGTGAACAAGGCGCGGAAACTCACATGCTCGACAGCATGGGCCATGCCGGGCATGTCATCTTCATCACTGAAGCTTCCAACATTCACGTCCAAGGCAGCACTGGCCTTGTCCGTCGTGGGATCATGCACCAAGAGAGCCTCAAGCTTATTGGGGAGACGGATGACCCGGTAGCTGCGATCATCAAGAGAGGGTTTCTCCAGCTGATCGGTGACCCGCTCAACAGCGGGTGAGCCCTTGCTGGGCGTATCTTGAGGTGAGGTGGACATGACAGAGTAATGACGCCGGTCCAAGGAGTGAAGAATCGATGATCCGGAAAGGCGTTGGGTGTTGTAAAGTGGAGGAGAAGACAGATATTCAAGCTGGGTCTGAAATACAGCGGGCCCAGCAGGTACTGACAGGAAGCGGCTGATGACAGGGAGGCGATAGTAGGGCGGCGTAGAAGAGAGGGGCGGCGTTGGCGTTGGTGGCGGTAGGTCAAGGGCCGTGGAGGCGGCTGTCCCAGGGGTCCGTAGCTCTAGGGTCCTGCTACTCCGGGGGCGGGTCCAGAATGGTGTCAGCGTCTGTGCGACGGGTGTGGACACAGCACCAGAGCTAGGCAAGGTTACCGGCAATTTGGGTGCCAGCAAATCCGGGCTGGCGGTGACACTTCCGGTAGGACGGCACTCTGGTCTTTGAAGTCTGTTTCGGCTGTGCGCCGATGCGGGGAGACGTGTGAGGTTGCGGTGGCACTGGTTGAGGGAATACGGGATGTTACCAGGTCCGTGTCGTGGTTGCCGGTTTCGCGGATTCAGAAGAGCCGGAGAAGTGAGGAGACGAGACGTAGACATCCAAGTGGAAGTGATTGCCGACTCTTTATACCTGATTCTGCCGTGAAGAGTCTCTCGTTGCGGTCGACTCGCTGGGTGACTGGGTCGTGGGTCGAATCAGAGAAGGTGAACGTTGTTCAAACGCGCATCTGCTTTTTCCGTGAGGATCTTATCCGTAGTCTGCGGGAACCTCGATGGCCTTACGGTACGCTAGAGAGGTTGGGGTGATGACGAACAAGCCAGCGCCCGGTGGGGAAGGAACGGAACAGACGGTACGTCACAGCGCCTGGGGAAATGATTCACGAACTAAATGTACAATTGTGAAGCACCGGACGGGAACCGAAAGCCCACGATGACCTCTCCTGGTGTTCGTATGTATCACAGCTACCAGTCCAAGAAGAAAGGCTGCCTAGAGTGGAAAGTAAGACGACGTATCACTTCTGGTTTTCTTGAGGGAATGTTTTGGATGAGGGGCAGCTTCGCGACATAACTTCCCGAGCTACGGGTACCTCTACGTAGCCCTCCCTGGCTCACTGGGTGCCACTTGATCACGTCGACCATTGAGGTTTCACCCTATAGCTTCAAGTTTTCCGCATGCGGTAAGGAGCTGTAGCATTTCAGCGACACGTTTACATGGTGGTACTCCGGTCCAAGGCTTGAGCAGCGGCAATTGCAGAGCTGTGATCAATGTATGTACAGTTATCCAGGTTGCAGATTCAGCTTACGGATGGTCCGATCGTCCTCAGCTGAGAGATCATATATGGGTAACAGGATACCTTGCTGAACGGAGCAGAGAGCCTTAACATCTTCTGGTAACGATCTCTTGGGTATCCTTGAGAGAACAGCCAGGGTGAGTTGGTCAGTAGATAGAGAGTGAAGATATCCTTTCTGGTTGGCATGCTTGTTTGTCACAGTTACCTTGGCTCCTTGGGACCCACGAACCCCGCCAGCCCACCGTCCGGTCAACTCGTTAGGAGTTGTTCACTGACATTGACTTGAGGAGTGCCTATCAGATGATAAGAGCGCAAAGTCCTGAATGGATCGAATTTACATTGTGGGATGAAAAGTATGTTCGGAGTTCCAATAGTCCTGGATACTGGTTGACACCTCATTAAGATATATGCAACGCACCCTACTATCGACCCTATAAAAGCCATCAGGGCCAACTCCAGGACGCACAATGAAGTGTTCCCTCCTCTTGCACTGCCTTATCACTTTCAACCCACACGTCACATTTCGAAGTTTCGTAATATGTGACGGGAGAGCCGCACATCTCAAGAAATAGATGTAGAGTGAGATCCGAGCAGACACTTTGTCACACACGTCAACTACCGGAGTGATAATTCCTCGCAATTCTTTCACTACGAGACTGTCTTGCAGCTGAATCATCAATGGGCATTGTTGTCGTTGTCCTTTGATTCTTACGTGTAATCTTTCTTTCTCATTGTAAACCTCGCTATGGTCTGACTGGCTATTTGCGTCGCCCAGTTGGATCTCTTCCGTTTGGACACTGATGCTCCTACATTAGCTTGATTAATCATAGTCCTCGAAAAGAGAAATGATTGCTCTGCCAAGAGGAAAAAACATGCTGTTGACAACCTGTCTCACATGCCTGTAGTATCATCAAACATGGTCGGTTTGTATATAGTAAGTGGACGAGAGCAATTGAGATGTTACTCAGAAGGTTGCCATAGACCTACTCTTACCTTTTCCAGCTCTCTTTACATTCTATATGTCTTACCAAACCACAAACAAATCGCAAACTGCCAAAGTCACACACGCATTATGCGGAATATAGCACAAGCGCGTAACAGCGGTAGACCTAACACAGAAACGCCGGAGTCTAGTACTATGTCTAGGTTGTAAGTCTAGTTTAGTTATCGTATATGTCATCGCATTTCACCAGTCTATGACACGGCCTCCTGGATAACAGAAGCCATGTGACAAAGACTGAGCAATTCCACTACCCTGTGGGCTGTGCTTCCGCTTAGGTGCAAGACTATGTTGTAGCGGAAGAGACCATATGAGGTGAAGTAGGACTAATAGACTGCCTTGAGCTGCGTGGTTGCTCCGGAGACCTTCAGCCGCTATGATCAGTTTGTCCGGGATGGTACTGATGAAAAACCACACGGGACGGATGTCACCCGTCAAAAGCCAATATTGCGGTTGCTTGTGATTTTGGGTATTGATGTTCCTTGCGGTTCGGCGGTAAAAGCAATCTAGTCTGCATGCAACCTGTTCTTCCCCAGCCCTAGCAGAAGATGACACCCATGTTTGTTATCAACAAGTCATCATCTATTGAAAGTCTTGGCTGGATATGAGCTTCAACGGTGACCGGCCTAGAAGGCGACGGCGGGTAAGTGTACCTCAGCGCCGCGTGGATCGGGTTCAAGAGAACAGTTCCATACCCCTTAAGCTGCCTAACAGCATGCAAACTCATCACACTTCCACCCCCTCTAACCGCCCATCAGTAAACAGGCCATATGCCTATATCTCTGAGGATTTACGATGCGATCCATCACATCGAAAGCCTTAAAATGTCTAAAGAGACCGAAGACCGCATGTTGCGCGATGCCGTACCAGATGTACACTCTAGTCCTTGCACCACCAGAACAAGCGACGGTTAACAGCGAAGGACATCGAGATACCCCGTTTGCAGCACGAGTTAAAAACTTAAGCTCTACACTGGCGTGGACGACATGGGCACATATATCCCGGTCCTCCGTAGGCACCATGGCACTCATAGATGCTTGAGCCTCTCCCCAGCAGGGAAAACAAATGACCTATGATCGTGAAGCTTATAAGCACTGCGGCCAATTTTAGAACAGTGGAACACACGATCGGGACTAAAATGGATGCCGAACCATCAACACTACTTCCGCGACTTGCGGGGGCAGTCAGCAGCTCGATGACCGTTCTGTCCACATGTGTGGCAGGCGCCGGTGAAAGCCTGCCGGTGAACGCCTTGTGGCTGGCCACCCGATCCAGATATCGTGGCAGGACGGTTGGGATTCACCTCCCTCTTCCGTCGGCCAAGCGCAAACTGTGCTGCCTTCTTGCGCTCCTCGCTTCTCTTGTCAGAGAACGAGGATCCCGGCCTTGCCCGCTTCTGTCCCCTGGGATTGACACCCTTTTGTTGGCCTCCGTCTGCCTGCTTGTTGGAGTCGGAAGATGCTTCACCCTCAGAGCGGTCGTCATCGGAGTCTGAGCCTGAGCTATCACTATTACTATCACTCTCGTCGTCATCATCGCTGTCGCCGTCTTCGTTCTTCTTCTTCTCCCCCTACATAGTCACGTTAGCGCGTGGAACCAAAGAATGCTGCTCTATAAACAAACATGCCTTTTTCTTCATGTTGAATTGGCGGAAGCGGACGGCGGTGGGAACAGCGGCAGGAGCGTCATCGTCACCACTCGTATTGCCTGAGTAATCAATCTGCGCAAATCCAACTTGAACAACATTCAGCACTGGGCGAGCCCCGGCCTTCGGGGCGAGGGAAGCACCAGGTAAGACCCAATGGGAGTCACCAAGTTCTGCAGCACGCTTTTCAATGGCAGCTTGTCGCTTCTTCTCTTCTTCTTCCAGCGCGGCCTGGATGGCCTTTTGGTCAAACAATGCCTGGTCGGCCTCCGGATTGGGTGTGCTCGTTTTCGATGTATGGGAATGCTTCCGGCGCTTGGAGGGACCCTCGTCCTCTGTCTTCGGGGTGCTGGGCTTCTCGGTTGGTGACGCAGTAGCAGCAGTAGCAGCAGCTCTCTGCATGAACTTCATCGTCATCAAGCGAGAAGACATAGTCTTTTGCGTCTGTGGCGCCGCCATGGTTGGCAGGTTCGTGGGGGCCATCGTGAGTACGTTGAATAGGCGCGCGGTAGCGTTGACGACTGGAAGATGTTATCGTTAATGGTCTTGTAATTTAACTCAATAGTTTGAGCTACTCCTTAATCGGCGCCCGGTAATGCGAGGAGGAGTTGGCACAGCGATAAAGATTTAGCGCGTGGTCGTTGTGATGATGTCGCACGTCCCAAGAAACATGGTTGGCATTTGACAAGAGACAAAAATTCCAATTCGAAGTCGTCAAGGTGGGACTACTCCCTAGACTACCTAGTTCCACAGCCCAGGGACCTACGGCCATTTGAGCCCCACTTTGAATGCCAGCTTGAGTCGGAGTGAGTCTGTGCACGAGCCAAAGGATCCAACCTTTAGCTTTGAGCCGCACACCCCCATCCCGATAATCCATCTCAGTTGTCGACAACAGCATTGACCCACCCACCGGGGAAGCTCAACTTCATCATACGTACCTGGTCCAGCTCTCGGCCGGTGCCCGCAGCGACTGACTCGAGACACTCCCGTCTCCATCCACAACCTCCTCCACCGAACATCCACCATGTACCCTTCAAGATTGCGGGTAGCCCAACAGCTGTCGCGCCAATGCGCGCGCTCATTCACCACTTCTGGCCATCAATTGTATTCGTCGTCGACCGTTCCGGCGCCTGAGAAGAGTGACCAGAAGACTGTCGAAGTTACGCCGACAGGACCGGCCGCCGTCGTGAAGCAGGCTCCCAACCGCGCGGAGGTCTGGTCCCGGAGTCAGAAGCCCCGCTCCGAGGCCATGACCGGCCCCCGTTTCGAGCAGACTAACTTTGATCTCCAGGTGAGCTACGGCCTGCGTCCAGGAACGAATCTCTACGCAATCGCAATTCGCACCCAAGATTCCGAACAAGACAGGATACATCAACGTTTGGGTCTTTTGCTAACTCCAGTTGCAAATTACAGCCTCAACCATGGGCCGCCATAGAGCTTATCCACAAGCAGCCTGTCAAGTGGGTGCATGAGCGTATCGTGGCATGCGATGGCGGTGGTGGCCCTGCTGGTCACCCCAAGATTTACATCAACACCGACAAGCCTGAGATTGCCACCTGCAACTACTGTGGACTTCCTTTCGTAAGTTTACAACAGGCTGTGATAATCTAGGTACGGACTCACAACTAATGTCGTGATATTGCAGGCAAATGAACACAACCGTAAACACCTCGAGTCCCTCCCCCAGACCTCCTACCCCCTTCAATAAAGGAGAGCGAGCCAGCCGCAGTCGGATTGACGTCGAGTGTGAAAATGTACCACGGTACCAGTCCGTGATGAAGGTCAAACAGGGACCTGTACATATAGAACTGAATAATGACGGAATGGAATTTTAAACGCTTCAAGGGGCACAAAGTAAGCCCGTACTGATTCGATTTGCTAGACAGCTACAATGCAATCTCATGAGCCGGTACGCGCATTCTGTCAATTTGTCGACGAAGTTCGATTATACGCCTGATTTACAACCTCTCCAGCGAACATGGACACCCCCGTCGGAACACGCGCACACTGTTCATGCAACATATCCACTACGACCGTATTCCTCCGCCTATCTGTATCGTGCCGGAGCTGAAGCTGTTTGAACGTTTGAAGAACAGCCAAAGGGACGAGAAAAGAGATGCCATCACAAACTTGGACGACGTCCATTCCGCTGTGGCTGCAACGGACTTTCACCCCCAAAAACCCCTTAACTCCCCGGTTCATCCTGAATTACTGAACTCTAGCCTTCAGGAGCTTTATGGTATGAATAGCCTACACAAGGGATCGGTAGGTATTCAAGCCACCCACGTAGGTGTCATTTAGAAAATCGGTTCGCGTGACGGATGAAGAGTGCAGCGTGAGTCTAATGCCAGCAAACATCTGATTTCTATCTGGTCCTCAGCTCGCTCTAGTTGCATATTGACATTATCTCCATATCAACAGTTCATTTGCAACAGCAGGTGAGATGGACAGGGTTTACTTGCGACTTTGTGAGCTGCAAGAGTTTTATTGCATAGTACAGCTCTTTTCAGTTTTGGAGGCTTTGGCCACCGAGAGGGCAGTGCAACGACCCGGGTGTCACCGAGCGAGCGTCAAGGTGCCCGCTAGTGGTTGCTAAAAATATCATCGGCCCCGAAGGACCGGGAGTCATGGTTGGGACACTACCTACATTTGTGGTGTACTTCCAATTGACACCCATCGGCCCCGTTGGGCTTGACCAGGCAAGGACCTGATGTGTGCATTCAATCCGTCAAAAGCTCATCTTGGGACCACATCACCATTTCTGTACATCGCAGATCAGTTGCCAAGCTCCAACATCTTAAAACTCGGCTTCTTTAATGGTAATCCTCGTACTCATGTAAAGCAAAGTTCACAGCTTTCAATGGAGGGCACGTCGTTAGGTTGCAGATCACCATGGTGCTGCTCCCATCAATGGATTCATTTGGATATTCTGAGAACAATGAAGTTTCTCTATTGGGGGGTAGTCCCTAAGACATGGCCGCATTCATCCGCCGCTCCCACCTTGATGTTACTCTATCCTGATATGTGTTTCATGGCGCACTATGTATTTCACCGTCCATTGACCATGTTTTGTAACTTTGGTCTTATCCAACACAGCCGGCTCGGTTGCCGTGAGAAAAGTCAGGTCCTTGTCAAGGCAATCGAAGTACGATATGAACACCGCAGTGGTGGATGTATTGAGAAGGCTCTGGGGTATGGAGGTTAGTTCAGACAAAGCTAAGGCTGTGCGGCTTGAACGGCCTAGCCTATCTATGGATCTATGTACGCTCTTCACGTCTTTGGAATCTCAAATAGATTTAGGCTCAAGGTCCGTTCCCGTCTCCGCCTTTGTTTCCAACACAAAGTCCAATGGTAATCTCCGTCCTGCATCCAATGCCCATACTCGCGGCATCGATATCAGTCGGCTCTTCCGACATTGTTCTGCCCAGCCTTCGATCAGTAAGCTGAGCTGTCATGGCGCCTTGATAACCTTGGCCTGCTAATGTGATGTTACCCACATCCAACCGCTTGATAATACCGAAGGAGTCGAAAAGAGGGCTTCAGCATGCGGAACACAGCCCCGCGAGGAGACCCTAGGATGGCCCAGGGTGGCAGAAAGTGGCATTTTGATGGCCCCCCGTCCCCTGCTTTCGTCCGATCCATTGGATCCGCCCAGCTGCACCTTGCGGGGGGTGGAGGCCATTCAGCACCAACGGCCTGCCGTGTTGCGGATCCTTGGAATTTTAGGTGCCTGGAACCGATGAACCTTGAACCCTTTTCGTCTCATTCCCTTTTGTGCCCCGTCCCTTGCTCCACAGCTGCCCGCTCCAAGCTCTGACATCAAACTCGGAGCTTTTGGTGAGCTCCAAACAGCTAGCTGTGCGCACACCGAGAACCCCTCTGAGAGACTGAGACCCCGTCACAGTGTCCCATTGTGATCTTGTGCAAGCCAACATTTGAATGTCAAGGCGCCAGGGCTTCTCACTGTCTCCTCACGTTCCATCACCACTACTCCTACTACCTACCTTTTCGCATACCCTGCTCCGTCCTCGTAGGGCGTTGGAGACCCGGACACGGCGATCTTGACGTTACCTCGCGGAGGACGCCACTCCCCATTCCCGTTTCGTTCCAACAAGAGTATGGTAGAGTGTTCGCTGCGGTTGGTTGCCGTACTGCTTCTGCTGCTGTCACCTGTATGCGTGGAATCGGATGACGCTTGTGGTTTTACATGCGTCTTTTGTGCCGTGGGCTTCTATCATCCCCCTACCCGTACGTACGCAGTGCATCTGCGTCCCTGTGAGGCCAGCACTGTCCCTCACGCCCACCCGGAGGGGATCTCTCAAACAATTCAGGCTATCTGACGACCCAGTACAAGTGAAAGCGCTCTGGGAATAACACGACCAGTTCAGTTTGTCGTCAACGGTGCTTCTTTCAGACTAAGCCTGGTTCCATCCATCTCAGCTTGCCCGCTTAAATCCAAGGCCTGTCAGCACCCGTCTGGGGTTATCTGCTGCTATCAGATCTATTACTGGAACCCAGCAGCGCAACAGCAGAGAGGAGGAAGACACTGCCTCTGTCACCACACACCATCACCACCACCGCCACCACCACCCCCCGCGCATCCGGCAGCCCACGTTTTCTGTTCAGGTAACGGGGTCCGGCTCTTTGATCGTCGCCAGCACAACACCGCCCTCTCTTTTTTTCCTTTCATCTCGACTCCCCCGATAATGCCGTTCTATCGGTCTTCTAAGCACAACCGATCTCAACACAACCTGTTGGGGTCATCGATTGCTGAAGACCCTTCGCAGGCAACATCCTCCGTTCAATCAGCCGCGAGCCTGGGCCCGGGCGCTGCAAACCCCTCTTCAGCCTTGCCAAACTCGGCCTTCAGCTCTGGCTCCAACGAATCTTTTCAGATTGATAACGGCGCCGGAAGACTGAACCTCGTACAGGCCTCACAGTCGCAGCCGTCGCGCTTGGTGAATATTTACAACAATCCCGCCAGCGGCCCCTCTCATCCCTCTGATCCTGTTCCACAATTGCAACATTCTAACACGGTAACTGGTGTCGTTGAGTCTCGCCAGAGAGACCACGACTTCGCAGATCAAGTGGCCCGGTCGCACTCCCATCACTTCCCCCAAATTTCACCAACCCAGGCCCAACAGCAGCAGCAGCAGCAGCAGCAGCAGCAGCAACAACAACAGCAACCCTCTCCGGCCACGCCTCAACAGCACCACCATCTTCAAATTCAACAGCAGCCGCAGTCAAGTCTTGGATCAAACTCAGTTGATAATCTACCAGACACAGCTTCCATCCATAATTCCCCATTCTCCGGCCAGGGACAAGGCCAAGCGTTTGTTGCAAACCAGCAGCCGCCCCCACCCCCGCCCAAGACAAAGCAGTCCACGCGCAGACTGATCAAAAACATATTGAGTGGCTCGTCCTCGCATCGTAACCAAGATTCTCAATCTGGACAAAGTTCGTGGAGCGATCCTTCAGGTATTGTTCGCAGATCGTCAAGGCGTATAAGCCAGCCGCCTCCTCCTCCCGCCATCCGCACAGGTGTATCTCAGGTTTCGCTTGGCCATCCTCCCGACTGGCAAGCCCAATATCCTTCATCGCAGCCTTCGCCTCTCCAAACGGCAGTGTATCGAGACTCGTATCTTGTTGCGGGACAAGAAAGAGACTTGCATCTCCAGAACCCGCAAGACCAATACAACCCCACTATTCGACCGGTCCCTCCTGAGAAAGACGTCTCGCCTTATTCAGTGGGGGAAAGCGGGTACCATCAACAGCAAGCCCATTCGCAACTGCAGGTTAAGATCCCTCCAGATCTCCAGCAACAACAATTCAATCAGGCTGAGTTCGAGGCCGCACTGCAACAACAGCACCAGCAACAGCACCAGCAGGTGACCCCCCAGGACCCATACCAGACCTCGTCGCAAGTGCAATACCAGGCGAGCACACATTCTGCAATCTCGGGCCACCTTGGCAATCCCCAGCATCAGAATCCTGAGACGGTATCGCAGCTTTCGCGCGAATCGCCAACCATCGATTCGGACCAGCGCTCAGCGACAAACGTTCAATCGTCTCTACAGGCTTCCGACGAGAGCAGTTACACGCCCCAATCCCAGGATATTCCCCTGCGTCAGAATCCACTCCCCGCGCGGGCTGCAGCCCAATCCCAAGGCAAGACCCCGCAACAGCAAGTCATGGCCCCACAACCCGGCGGACGCCGGTCCCAGGATACCACCGATAAGGCGACCGGGATTCGCGAGGTACAACCACCCCCTGGCCCCCCGCCAAGCTATCGCCAAAGTCAACAGCCCAGCATGAACAACTTGTCTCAATCTTCCAACGCAGGCGGTCAAAGCTCCAGCAGCCATCGCCAGGGAGACAGACAAGGCTTCGATGGATCGGGAGAAGTCCAAGGGCGTAACAGCCCCCAGCCGGCGTCCGAACGTGCTGCGGAGGACCAAGAGAAGACATTGAAAGAGCTGCGTGTGTAGAACCCCCGGTCCCCGTTCAGCCCCGTGAATTGCAAACTAACCAGGCGATTTCTATGACGCAGTGACGAAGTACAAGAACGTCAAGAGACTGTACTTTGACGGCAAGAAAGAAATCGAACAGCTGGGCAACCAAGTTGAGCAGCTCCAAAATGCAATCGCCAACCAGCGCATATCGCAAAGCCGAACATCGTTGGACGACAGCGAGTACACGACGCGGTTTAATCGCTTGCAGGGTGCCATCACAAACCTTGCCTTCAATATCAGGAAGGAATGGAAAACATTACCAAAGTGGTTGGACTCATACGTGACCGCCAATGCGCTGAAGACGGGCAAACAAGAAATGACCGCCGTCGGTCGCGCAGTCATAAGTCGTTGGGTGGTAGATGAGATCTTCAATCGCTGCTTTCACCCTGGCCTGGAAGCTGAGCTAAGCAAACAGCTTAGGACGATTGAGCAGAACATCAGACACTTTAGTTACACGTTGAACAGCCAGGAAGAATACGATGCGCTGACCAGCAAGGTTGTCAGCTGGAGAATGACCACACTGGAAGGACTTCAGGACGTTCTTAGGAGCGCCGAGGCTGACGATCATAAGACTAATTTCACCCGGCGCGCCACTAGCAATCTGACCGCTCACCTTTTCCAGCACCTTACGGAACCTGCGCCCGTTGGAGTCGACGGAAGTGTAGGCATGATTGTGGAGTTGGCGGTAGGGATTGCCAGCAACCTGCCCCTTGAGAGCCGCGATGTTGCCATCATCTATCCGTTGCCAGAGCAGCCAGTTCAGACCAACCTCATGGAAGTCGAAAAGACGCCATTACCACCCCTGGAGTCGCGCCCGTCCGATGCCAGCGAGGAAGGGACCGCAGGTGACGGAGCCAAGGAGTCCTCCAAGGAGCGCCGCGGCGACAAGGCCAGATCCGGTATGTTAAACACCATTCATCACACCATAGGCGGGAGCAGCGCCAGCGGTCCACCCGGTAGCCGGAAGGGAAGTATTGCTGACAATTCGACGCTGTCGACAGCACAATCTGGGGTGGCTTCACAATCCAAGGATGCTGGAAGGGTTCGCTTTGCCGGGTCATTTGGTGTGGAAGTTAGGGGTCGCCATGTTCTGATTAAAGCGCCAGTCTGGACTATTTGAGGCCTTGACGGGTCGATGATTTCCGCGCTTTTCTCATTCCTTTAAATATTCTATCTACTCGTAATTGGCCATAAGTAGGGACGCATCTAGGGCACTATGTGTGCACGCAGAGAGAGACAACTTGTTGAGAACCCGTTCTCCTGAATGTTTCTCAAGCTGTGAAAATGGAACAGGGATGACTTGAGCAGACGGATGAGTGAACTCGGTTTGAAAGGGCAGTCATAGCCCCGTTGCGGGCAATGGCATGCAGATGCAAATGAAAATCGGGAATGGATTTATGTGACCTGCTTATGATGCTAGACTTCACATTTTGGGGATTTGTCTAATATAACATGGGGTTGCTGGGGGGTTCGCATTTCTGCAAGGGCAATGAACCGCCGTATTTCTCTTCTAATTCTCTTCTAAGCTCTCTGGGATGGGACATCCCGATCTACAGTACCTGTTATACTTGTGTGTGTCTGAGGGATTCACGTCGAAGTACATAGTACCTAACACTTTATCGATGCATAACTTATACAGCCTTCACCGCCTTCCGTTTAAGGTGGGGTTACCCCTCCATCCCCCAAATCGCAACTTTCCGCGCTTTCTGCCGCATCGCGAGGAGGCAGTGCTGGAAGAAAGATTTGGAACGAGCAACTTAAATTTCACAAGAAGAGGAATACCACGAGTGGAACGAGTCCAAGCTTTTGTCGCGCGAAATCTTAGATATCTTCAATTGGCTCCTTCGATTACGAAATTCGAAGCCACCAACAATGTCCGCCGATAACACGACGCCCGTCACCACGACGGCGGGTGGTGAGAAGCCCGCTCACCTGGAACCCTCCAAGTTGGGCACGAAGGAGTAGTGAGTTCCTCCCCTTCCCTTCACCAACGAACCCTTTCATTACCAGCACCAAACCCCCGTTCAACCTCCAATCCCCTGTCCTAACTAACCTCTCCCTTCCTCCCCTCTCCAGCTGGGACGCCCTCTACACACGCGAAATCTCCAACCACGCCTCCAACCCCTCCGACGAAGGAACGGTCTGGTTCGACGACTCGGACGCCGAGAACAAGATTGTGCAGTTCCTCGACGAGCAAGAACATGAGCTCTTCTCCGGTATCTTTTCGCGAGACGATGCGGCGATTATGGACTTGGGGTGTGGTAATGGCAGCCTGCTGTTCGCGCTGCACGATGACGGTTGGGAGGGAAGGTTGTGCGGTGTGGATTACTCGGAGCAGAGCGTGGAGTTGGCACGGAGGGTGCTGAGGACGAGGGTTTTGGGAGAGGATGTGCCTGAGGTTGAGGAGGGAGAAGGGGAAGAACAGTCAGCAGCAAAAGAGGAGGACACACGACAAGAACAAGATGAAGAAGAAGAAGAAGAAGAAGAGGCGGACGTGGGAATCGAGTTCAAAGTCTGGGACGTCCTCAACGGCGACTTTTCCACCGTCCAAGCCCGCCCCCCATCTTCCCAACAACCCCTAGAAGGAGACAAAAACGCCGGCTGGGACCTAGTCCTAGACAAAGGTACCTTCGATGCCGTCTCGCTCTCCGACTCGCGAGACGCTCGAGGCCGGCGAATCTGCGAGAACTACGGCGCGCGCGTACTTCAGCTGTTGCGCCCCGGTGGGTTTTTCCTAGTGACCAGCTGCAACTGGACCGAGGAGGAGCTGAAGGGGTGGTTTGAGACGGACTTTGCCGAGGTTTATGACGGTACGGAGAAGAAAAAGTTGGGCCTGAGGCAGGTAGGTAGGATTGAGTACCCTAGTTTTAGCTTTGGGGGTGTCAAGGGGCAGACGATTAGCACGCTTTGTTTTCAGAAAAGGGATATTTAAGGGGTTGAGAGGTATGGTGGCCAAGTTGCGGAGAAAACAGGAGAGGATAATATGTAATGGGTTCAAGAGGCGATTTGTGAAATGCTAAAAAACCATGTGCGGGAAGGATGTCTGGTTGATGGAGTACCACGTCTTGATGCACATATTTGGAAAGACTACAAATGACTTCGCATCGGGGTTTCTACGACGTCCACGAATTACGGATTGTTACGTGATGTCCGTCTGTGTGCTCACTTTATCTGTGATCGCTGATTGTTATCATCCCTTGTACCAATACTTTTCGTATTGGCATGCCTGCTCCCATAGGTATATCGAGTCGTAGTTGCTGGAGCCCACATATTCCCTTCCACTCTATTCTCTGATGGGCACATAGCCAGCCGACCATGCCCAACTATTCAAGTATCTTCTAACGAACAGAAAGCAATAGAACCTCCACGATCCTGTAGCGTACAATAACTTTACCACAGAAAAAGTGAAGATGTCAACAAGAAAAGTGCAAAACTATGTTCTTGAATCTGTAATGTACGAACAGCGGTGATGGTACAATGCCCGAGTGACTACGACAAGTCTAAGGAAGAAAAACTGGCCACTTGTTTATCATAGTCCTAACGCTGCTTTGTCGGCTCATTGGTGGTAACAAAAACTTTCTTCATTAGGTGGGACTCTCTGCTTTCCTATGTTCTTCCGTCTCAAAATCCGTTGTCTATGGAGATGTGTTCATGGGCTCCCCACCGCTAGGAACAGGATTTCCTGCCTCGGTGGCAGCTCCCATAAGAGGACCAGTTGCTTGAGCCGCAGCAGTCGTCGCAAAGTACCGCACATCCACATCATCATCCTTTTGCAACTTCTCCAAGCACGGCATGATGCGCTGCTGGATGAGCTCCTGGCCCTTGGGCGACGGGGTGGCAGGCTTGCCCTCCTTTTCTAGCGTATAGATGGTGCCCTCGTCGGGCAGACGACGCAGAACACCGATAATGATGCCATATGTCTTTGCGACGTTAAAGCGAATATTGGGGATTGAATCGGCTGTGAGCTTTTCCAACATCGGAAGGATGGACTTGGCAATCACATCCAGACTGACAACGGTAGCCAGGGTCTGTAAACATTAGTCAGACAGGAACTTCACTGAGTTTCGTATGCCATTGAGTCTCTTACCGTGATAGCAAAGCAAGTGGTCATCCGGTAAAGGTAGTTGGGGTGGGCACCCATAGCCATAACCTTGGGGATAATAGCCTCGCTTGCCCACTCAACCCCAAACACCTCGGTCAGCTTCCTTAGGTTTTGAGTAGCGGCCTCACGAATGGAGAAAACAGTATCTCCGAGCCAGCCCATGCAAAGCTGGCTGAGCTTCTCGTCGAAAAACTTGACGCCCAGCTGGCTGGCAAGAAGCGGGATGTAGTCGATAATAGCCAAGCGTACACGCCACTGCTTATCTTCGGCTAGCTGTACAATGGCCGGGAGGAGAGACTGAGAAAGGAGGTCGATGCCGATAACTTGGTTCACAAGCTCCAGTTTGCTGATGATGTGAAGGCGAACCTCTGGGAACTCGTCCTTGAGCATCTGAAGGAACATGGGCAGAAGATGATCAATAGTCCTTGTACAATAATTAGCATACGCGTCAAAGAAACCGTATCTGACTGCGGGAACGTACTCTTGCTTGCCCAAGATAGGAGCGAGGCCGCTGATTTGTGTGCCAAGGGCAGCTCTGACATGCTGGGAGCTATCCGAGACGAGATCCTCAACACTTCCCATGATGTCATTAAGGAGAACGTTGCGGTCAACCAAAGCACAGAAGCCAGGGATCTGGCCGGCGATGGCAGTCCGCACCTCAGCCTCGTTATCTTTCAGGAGTTTTACGAATGCAGGAACAAGATCTCTGGACACAACCTCATCATCAACCGCCTTCGCAATCTGTATGTGCTGTTAGTCATCCAAGAAGCGATATGAGGGGAGGCCAAGCGCTTAGCGCGACCACGAACCTTCTCAAATCTGTCGGCGATCATATAGCGGACCCTCCAACTCTTGTCCTCTATCAAGCTGCGTAGCGATGTGAGGAGGACGGTGTGGCTGGCCTGCTGCTCTTTGGGCACAACCTCCGCAATGGAGATCAGAATCTCGACTGTAAGGAGTCTGACACTATCCTGGTCGTCCTGGGCGAGGTGTTGGAACATGGGTATCATTTCCTCGATAACGATGGGAGCCGGCATCTCCTTCACGAACTTGGCCATGTTGGTGGCGGCCTGACGGCGCACCATGGGGGTCTCATCGTGGACGAGCTGTCCAAACTGCTGGCGCAGTTGTTCTTGAATAGGCGGCGAAACTTTCGAGTAAGGGGTTGTATACAGGCCGCATGCGGAAACCTTGGACGTAAACCAGTCGGCCTTGGAGAGGCGAATCGTAAGAGGGATAAAGTATTCTTCAACTTGCTGCGAAGAGAGTTGAGTGCAGATCTTGTTCAATGATTCGACAGCCTAAAACGTTTGTCAGTACACATGCGGATCGCATGACAAGAAGCCAGGAGATGGTCACGTATCCGTACCTTGTCTCGCACCACGGGCTCCTCGATAGCAGCGAGGTTCTCAAGGGGGGAAAGAAGGACATGTCCCCATGCGGGGCCCCCCACGTACTCGACAAAGTTACCAAGCTCTTCACTCAGGGCAACGAGGACCTCATCTTCATCTTCAACCGATTCTACATTCAGAAGTGTCAGCAGCCGTATCCAAGAGTCCCAGCGGCTGTGTAGCCGGAGGCCGGCGCAGGTGGCTTTGCTAGGCTGAAGCTGGGTCGAAGGGTTGGCTAACCATCGAGAAAGGGAATCAGCTCCTCGCGAGTGCGCTCGGGACCCAAAGCAAGGGCGATAGTCGAGAGACGGTGGATGGCGTTTAATCGGAGGACGACCTCGTCGTGCTGCCCAAAGTCAATCAGGATTTACAGCCCATCAACTAGACAAGAAGGGATAGTCAGGGGTTCTGGCCGTCCGGGTCACCGCCATCATACCTTCAATTCGTCGATTAGCACGGCGATGGGGAAGAGCTCGTCGTTCGCGTTCGTCGCGTCGGCCATTGTGGGCGATTTGTGAAGTGGACGCGGAAGATCGCGGGGGAGTATACAGTCGGCGAGCGAGGCGGATTTGGACAAACTGGTTGACTTGGTACGGATGTTCGCTTGCGGGCGTGATGCAATAGACGGGGGGGTGTGGACTGGACTGGTAGCCGGTCGGGCGACGCTGTGCGGCGGCGGTACCAGTGACTGTGATTGTAGTAGAGAGAGGAAAGTGGATGCGTGTGTGTGCGCAACTTGGTAACTGCGTTGCTTGGGCGGGCAGCTAGGTAGGTTTGTTGTGTTTAGGTTGATTTTGGTTGCTTGGTTGAAAAAGAAAAAGCAAGAGTGACGCTTCGTCGGGTCGAAATCGGAATTGGATGCGATCTCTCAGCAGTAAGGTAGTTTCGCACACGGCGCCACGACACGGCGGGCAGCAAGCAGGCAAAGAATGATACTGGACGGTTTTGCTTGATAATAATAGGTAAGGGTTGCTTGATGGAGGGTTGACGGTGGTTCCTGTTCCTTCGGGGGGAGGACTCACCTACACTAGGTACACCTAGAGGTGGAGATCGGAGCGAGCTTGGTGGTCCCCGCAGGGCCGCAACAAGGAGGAGCAGCAACAGCAGCAACAGCAGCCAGGGCAGCAGGGCAGCACTTAAGGTCACCTAACCAACGGCGGGACACAGCTGGACCCGGTCTTCGACACAAATTGACCTGACGCGCAAAGCTGGGGTCCAGTTCATGACGGGGGCCGGGCGGACAAGGGTGAGAAGGAGCACTGGCCACTCGCCATTTCAGCTTGGGACGTAGCCGCCCGTTCCCGTCGTAGGGGTGGTCCCTCAAGGCGCACCGGGCACCACTTACTTGCCTGCTGCACCACGAGAGTTAGGTAGGTACCTCTATCAATGAACAACTTCTTCCGCTTCCAATTCGCGACGTAAGCTGCTCTTTCTGTTCAAGTCACCCTTCGTCATGAGGTAGGGTTGGGAGACTGAGATAAAAAGGACGTGGTACAGCTCCGGAAGAATGGCAACAGCAATCAAGATGCAAGAAGGGGAGAATGTTTAACACCGACTAACTGCCTTGTTACAGCCTAAGGTGAGTTGTTACAACATCACGTATTCCAATTCTGACTCACTACAACATTATCACATGTGAATACCGGTTTGGGAATGTATGCTGTTCATATTTTGCTGTCTGATAAAGTCAGGCATTACTGCAACTAAAGCATCGCTAACCTTGCTTCATCAGGGAGCATGCTGTTTCAACGAGCTCTTCTCATGACGGGAACCAATTGCCCACATATTATTCTACTCTTTCTCCAACAATTCTTCACCACTCATCTAACTCATACTCTTCATCTCCTGCTCCACCAGTTCGTTTTGCGAATTCCGCCCGGAATCAGAGCCAGATCCTCCAATCGAACTTCGCCCTGTGCTCCCACCGGTGCCGCCGCCAAACATAGCCTTTCCAAGCGACAATCCGGAAATCCTCTCCTGAAGAGCTGCAAAAGTGCCCGTAGGATCTCCAGCCGCGACATTTCGGTTTGGTGGCGCCGGACTTCTAGTCCCGGGCGTCAGAACCTCGTGGGCCGACTCCACGCCTGCAAGCACGGACCCTCCGGCCGCGGTAGCTGCCAAGCCCGGCGGCAGCGGGCTCCGGGTGGGGCTTACCGATGTCCGCGATGGGGCGCCGGACGATGGTGGGTTGCTGTTCACATCAATCGTACCCGCATCGACAGGCCTTGAAAGCTCTGATGACGATGAAGCTTGCTGATAAGCAGCAACACGCTCTGCTGTTGCGGCCAAGGCATTTAGATCGCCATTCATCTCATCATCCGTCCGGTTGAAGAGTTGGTGCCACCACCGCACGTCGTCGCAGCGAGGGAATAGTATACGCTCACGGCCTCTGACGTGATCATCAACTGTGGCATCGTACTGCTCGTTCGTGAACTCCGAGCGCCGGCTCAGAAAGTAGGCCCACACACTTCTTGTACGTTCTTGTAACCGTGCTTCGTGGCGCTGACGCTCGTTGTTGAACAAAAAGGTACCGTACTGACAAGAATACACATGGTAGTATAAGCGGCGCAGGAATCGTTCGTTAAACTCAAAGCGAGTCGGGTGTTGCCTAAGGAGCTGGTAGGTGGCGTCGAGGAACTGGTGGAAGACAGGCG